GTTGGAGGGAGGGAGGGGATTGTGCAGATGAGGAGATACTTAAGAAGAAAATGTAATTAAAGAGAGACAGATAGACAGATAGACAGACAGACAGAGAGACCAGATGATTTGTGTGTGTGTTTGTATGTGTGTGTGTGTGGGGTGGGGGGTGAACAGGTAATGGAGATCGATGGACTGGTATCGCCAGCAGAACTTGCATTATGATTAAATTGCTTTTTTTTTTTTTACTGCGTGGTATTCTTGTCCTCACTATAATTTTGCAAGTACCATTATTGATGCATTGCCATTATCACCATCATCATCAATATCATGGTCCCCCAATTCACCTTACTTTGTACTGGAAAGATTTTGAACTGTACCTTGATATTGTAATTATCCGCCATTTGTATTTCCCACCGCCTTGTCTTACACCATTTTCTTCACTTGCAGGCTTCAAAGGCAAGAACTGCGAGCAGAACATTGACGACTGCCACAACCACCTGTGTCAGAATGGCGCCACCTGTGTGGACGGCGTCAACACGTACACATGTGCGTGTCCGCCAACGTTCACGGGTCCGTATTGCAAGGACGACGTCGACGAATGCGCTGTTAAGCCTACTATTTGCAAGGTCGGTGTTTTTTTATTGATTTTAATATTTATTTGTTTATTATAATTATTTAGAAATGTGTATATTTGTCGATGTCCTGCGTTACGAGTTTTATATTACACAATATTCAACAATTTTCTCTTAGCTATGCTAATAAGTGTGTGAATGAATATATATATATATATATATATATATATATATATATACACATATACATATACATATACATATACATATACACATACATTATGAATATTGTTGAAATACGAATTATGAATTTGAATATAACTCAGCTGATACATAACTGTCCTCTGGAAAACTTATCTGAATTTCCTCCTAACGTTCTTCTCGTTCCCCACGTTCAGAACGGCGCCACGTGCACCAACACCCAGGGCGGCTTCTCGTGCATCTGCGTGAACGGCTGGACGGGAGACGACTGCTCGGAGAACATTGACGATTGCACGGGAGCGGCGTGCTTCAACGGTGCGACTTGCATAGATCGCGTCGGCTCCTTCCTCTGCCAATGCACGCCCGGGAAGGTGAGTGAACGATGCAATTTTTTTTCTTTGTTTTGGTTTGTTGATATTTGGTGGGTTGAGGAGAAGAGAGAGAGGGGCGGGGGAGTTTGGTTAGTTTGTGGTGTTTTTTGTGGTTTGTTTCCTGATATTTTTATTAAATGACTGTGCGTTTTGTTTGTGGTTTCGCGTGGTTCTTGCAATGCATCTTACGGGGTATGTTCATTTTCTCAGTATTAACATTTCGTTTTTATGAGGGTGATGGTGGTTCTGATATGTTTCACATTATTTATATTTATAATTCTGGATAACATTCTTGATTATCATTTTCATGACGATACTCTCACCTCCTCGATACTGGGAAATACCCGTAAAGCGACATATACTTATTTTTTCTTGTGCGTTCCCTTGACAGACTGGCTTGCTGTGCCACCTGGACGACGCGTGTGCCAGCAGCCCGTGCCACCCCGGCTCCATGTGCGACACCTCGCCCATCGACGGAGGCTACATCTGCACGTGTCCGCCCGGCTATAAGGGCGTTGACTGCACGCAGGACATCGACGAGTGCCAGGAGGGCCTCCCGTGCGAGCACAACGGCACCTGCGTCAACACACCGGGATCGTTTAGGTTCGTGGGACTCGGGTTTTGTTTCGTCTTAAAATTAGTGGTAATTTAGATATTGTACGTAGGTTTTGGTATTTCGAGAGTATTTTGTGTGCTTAAGAATGTCAGAGAAGCAGATGTTTCCGGAGACAAATTCTAGAAGCAAATAACAGAAAAGAAAATCTGTAAGCGCAAAGAATTAATGAAACCCATGAAACAGCTCACCGAATTTCTCTTTCCCAAATGCAAAGCCTCTAACATGTCCCTTCCTCCCTCAGGTGTGACTGCTCGAAGGGCTTCACGGGGCCGCGGTGCGAGATCAACATCAACGAGTGCGAGAGCAATCCCTGCCACAACCAGGGCACTTGTCTGGACGAGCGAGGTGCCTTCCGCTGTGTCTGCATGCCCGGTAAGTCTTTGCTGTGGATTCGATGGAAATGGTTACAGAGCGGGCGAGGGAGGGAGAGAGAATGGGGGAAAGGGGAAAGTGGCTGGGGTGAATGAGACAGAGGGAGGGAGAAATAAAGAAAGGGGTATTTTTGTACGTTTGCGTCCGTGCGTGTACTCTTTTCCCCATCTTTCTTCCTTCCTCAAAGAGGTGGGGTCGGGTTGACAGTCAGAATTGCACGGAAGACAAATAAAGCCAAATTGCAGTCATCTGATGTCTGATTCGATTACATTCACTTGTGCGATGGGGCGTCGATCGGTCGAGAGACGTGTCACCGTCATTAAATGGCCCGACAGCGAGTTGAGTGCTAACAGGGATGTGTTGCACGGTCGTAGGGAACGGTTGGTCACTGTGTGTGTCGTGTTGGAGACTCTTCCATGAAAGCCAGCGACGCTATGATATTTTTTTCCATGGATGCCAAATGAAAATTCCTCGCCGTTACCCCCTGGACCCCGAGGCCCCGCTCAAGCCGGCGAGGTGGGCCATCTGCATCCGCGCGGCGCAGGGCCTCTTGCGCCGCATCAGTTTCCATAGGCTTGTGCATACCGCCGATGTCGGAGAGGTGAACGAGCGGTCTTACATAAGCGCAGGCAGGTGGCTCGGCAAAGCGGAGTGGCTGTAGTGAGGCGGTAACCCTTCCCAGCCTCCAACCCACATCCTCTTCGCAGCCGCCTCGGGCCTAGCCAATTACCCGCCGCTTTACTCACGCTCCGCTACCAGCCAGCCAATGAGAAGCGCCGCTGGACGGGCTCTCGATTGCGACTGGCTGGCGGCCGCGGGAGCCCTGAAAGGACCCAACCGCGAATACAGAGTCGACCAATCTTAATGCGTGTTTACAGGGACGTGAAATATGATTGGTCACTTTTCGAGGCCAAAGGTTACCAGGGGATGCTTCAGTGGCCGTAATTGACTAAATTGGCCACGTTGCCATAGTGAGGGGTTTAATGTAGTATTCTCTTGCCATTGATACAGATATTCTCCCGCGAGACATCCGAGTATCTCGAGCGTTTGTATAAAAATAGTTTTTTTACTTGGGAGAAAAAAAATCGCAGGAACTAAGAGGCTCCATCATCATCATCATCTAAAGCATATCGTATAGAAGAATAACCCTGAGTCAGCTTGAGCTTATGACGTGAGGGAGCCGAGGGGGGCGGGGGCACAGACGAGGGGTGGGGGCGAGCGAGTGGAAGGGAGGAAGGATGGATGGCGGGGGTGGGGGGTAAGCAATCGTGCGATTCTTAATGGACGAGAGATAATTGGTGTTACGGCCATTGAATTGACTCGCTGGAAGGGGCCATTTTAAGAAGGACTTCCAATTGCAGGGGAAGGGGGTTAGGGGAGCAGGGGGGAGGTGCAGTCACTCACAGCTGCTGAGACTTGGGAGCAGGAGGTCCGAGTGGGAGAGGCTGAGGGAGAAGGGGGGAGAAGGGAGGGTATGAAAAGGTGCTGTCATGTGTACTCATCAATCGAAAATCGCTCACTTATATTTCTACGGTCTCTGGGGAGAAGGGGAGGGGGGAGGGAGAGGGATTAGGGGGATGCTACTGTTATGCATGTGTGACAGGGCTGGGTCATGCTTCTTGAAGTGGCTGTTACTGCATGACATGTTGTTGTCGGGGTTTGGCATGACTGAAGTCCTCGCGCCTTGATGCTGTTTCTCCCCATTTTGCTCCTCGGAAGAAAAATA